TGCTGTCACAGGCCGAGGTTTCTCCCCGCCATTGCCATTGCCGTTGCCATCATCTCCTACCACCGAGCCCACGCCGCGTATTCACGTTTACTAAGAACTTCCTTCCTCTGGCTAATGTTTGGAACTGGCCTCTCGCAGCCTGCACCTTGCATCCAACACGTCAGGAGTCGCCCTGGACTTCATCACTGTATGATGGCTCCCAGTCGAGGACACACTGACCATGGACGCCTTCATCTTGCGCAAAAGGCGTCGCGTGTCTTCACCGCAGGCTGATCTTGAACCCAAGACTCCTCTTACACCACCGATCGACGAGGACGCCGAGTCAACCGACGTCAAACTCGCAATTCTGTCATCTCTATACCCAAGCAGATCCCAGGGTGACTTGCTGGAAGTCCTGCTCGGCTGTGACGGCTCCGTGGACGCTGCCATCGAAGCACTCTCGACTGTTGCGCAAGATGCCCTTCCACCGCCGAAGCGTCGACTGACCGGCGCCAGTATGCAGACCGGCCTCCCGTTCACGTCAGAGAACAAAAGTCCATCAAAGTCAGTGTCGCAACAACCGCTGACGAGAAAGGGCAAAACTCTCCACCTCTACACGCCTCAAGACATTGCAAGCCACACCCCCTGTTCCATAATTCACAATTTCCTGCCGTCCAACCTTGCAAATGCCCTGCTGGCAGAACTCCTCGCTGAAGTCCCCAGTTACGACTCCATTCAATTCAAGATATTCGACAATGTCGTTAAATCCCCGCACACGGCATGTTTCTACGTCGACAGCCTAGCGGATGTAGAGCGACAGAGGAGCGAATATTACTACAACGGCAATGATCTCGGTGATATCAGGCAAATTCTGCCAGTCATGAAGCAAGTCAGCGATCTTGTTCGTGACGCAGTGAATAAGGAGATCGCTATCCGAATCCGTGATTTTTACCCGAATGGCAAAAAATTGCAATATCAATCATCTGAGCCATGGAGGCCTAACGCCGCTTTCGTCAATTGCTACGATGGTGGCGCGCAACATGTGGGCTATCACTCTGACCAGCTCTCCTATCTCGGGCCTCGAGCCATCATAGGGAGCTTGAGCCTCGGAGTTGCAAGGGAGTTTCGCGTGCGAAAGATCGTGCCCAAGGACGATCACGACGAAAACAACAAATCTGAACGCACCTCTTCAGCAGCAGACATTTCGGGTCAAATCGCAATCCACCTGCCGCACAATTCTCTCCTCGTAATGCATGCCGAGATGCAAGAAGAATGGAAACACAGCATCGCACCGGCTCTTACCATCACCCCCCATCCTGTCGCCGGCAATAAACGCATTAACATCACCTATCGGTGGTATCGTGAAGAATTTCGCCCCAAATACACTCCAAAATGCAGATGCGGGGTCCCTTGTGTATTGAAAACAGTGCAGAAACAAAGGGCTAATAGGGGCAGATATATGTGGATGTGTCAGGTTGGAAATAAGCCAGGCGGCGGCGAGGGATGCGGGTGGTTCGAATGGGCGAGGTTTACAGACGATGGAGTGCCTGTGAGCTGGAAGGATGATGCGATAGGAGAGAAGAGTGATCAAGAGGAAAAGAAGAGCCAGGATAAGATGGGCACCAAAGATGGCTCATGGAGACCCCTAGACCCCAAACCATGTGAGTGAGCAGCAACACATTGCATATGCTGAAAGAGAATGCATTCCCACAGACAACAAACCGGGAAGGCGAAAATGATTAACCAAATCGAGTTGCTTGTGTCTCTGGTGTCATTCTGACGCACAGAAGTCGGTCAATGTCTTCCACTTTGCCACCCCTTTGCCATCGCTCGTTCTCACAAAGACCGGGACTGGAAAATCATGCAAAAGTCGGAGAAGTTGACAATCGACAGTGTCGCGCAAGTTGTGCTTGCGATGGCGGAACACACTGATGCCTTCGAGTCGCGCATCAGATGGGGCCTGCCTTACGTTTCTCGACACCCTCTTTCCCGCCGCCTTGGCACTTGTATGTGCATTTTGAACGAACTACTCGACAGAAAGGCACGTCCTGGTTTGAGATGATGCTTTTCGAATTTCCGAAGTTCGGTGCATTGAAATTTGCCGACATTACCTAGCTCTAAAGGGGGAAACCGTTCTTGTCATCAGCTGCAGGTAGTTGGCTGGGAGGATGGCAGAATCAAATCTCCTCAACAAGACATTGATGTAATGTCAGGCACTTGAGATGCTGGTTGGCAACCTGTTGAGTTGGTTTTCTGCTCTCCTGGCCTACCTTGCCTACCCACAAAACCAGGCGGTTGGCTACACTTCCTTGAAGAATCTTAGCTGGAGTGCCTCAGTCTCAGCCTCCGCCTACGCGTCTCCAGGACGCCGTCGGAAATGTACTGGGTAAGGATGTCGACATCTTCAGCCACCAACTTATGTTCCAAATATTGTTCGCTGTTGGTATCAGTTGCAAGCTATACTTGGGTCTGAAAGCTCACAATGTCGCTGGTCTCGAATTCTTTCCTCTCGACTTAAACGACCCCACCACACCGATGCTACCTGGGGAGTTTCGTCTGTTCTACTTAGAGGAATCCCTTTCTGAAAATCCCAAAGGAAGATTGCACATCTTCAAATCCGATGACGCGCCTGGGTTCAGGGCCCTATCAAATACATGTGGCCCTCCTTGCCGGAAAATGCACATACGAAATGGTCGTCTAGATCTAGAGCTGGACCATTTATGCGACAGGAGCCTTCTTGTATCGTCATCTGCCATGACCGCCCGATCGAACTCATACCCATTCTTCGCTACACTCTGCACAATTTTGCGGCACACAACATCTGTGGATGGCTCTGGATTGATGTGATCTGTATCAGACAACATGATCTGGAGGAACGAGCATCTCAGATTAGACTGATGGGGACAATATATTCTCGTGCTGCAGAGGTATTGATCTGGGTGGAGCATGAAACCGGCGTGGCTTCGAGTTTTGTCAATACTACACAAAACGTTGTGCCCATTGTTTGCAGGCAGTGCCGAGGGACCTCTACCTGAACTTGAGCTGAATGCTCCGTTCCCTAGTGGTCGTTGTGAAGAGATACTAGGGGTTAAATATTTTGCCACAATACTATTGAAATGGTTCGAATCCATTGTTCTTTGTCGACGGTCTATAGATTATGGGCCACAATGGAGCTGGTTCTGGCCAGAAAGCCGTGGTCATTTTGCGGCCACGTGGAACCGGTCTGGGATACGATGTCGATTTTCTCTGCCCTCATATATTCAATGGGCTGGATGGAGTTGGGTTGGTTTCAATTCACATTGGCATTAAATTCAGTCCTTATCAGTGTCGCGCAGCTGTGGGAACGTTGCTTCGAGGCCACAGTGACATATGAACACCAACGCCTTCTCGCTTGGGTTCCGTCCTCGAGCCAAGAAGACATTGGAGGCCAGAATCAAGCGCGTCGCCATTTCATCCACCTCCATGAAATACTTTCTCTGCAGCCGGATGCATCACGGCAAGGTCCGAGAGATCGAATTTTCGGTATGCGGGGAGTCGCGAAGCGACGAACAGGTATCGATCTTCCCCCCTGACCCAGCCAGATTACTCTGAAAGCTATGACTAGGTCTATATCAAGGTGGCTACATACCCTTAAGCATGAACGGTCTCGATATCTCGACATCTTAACCAGTGCGCACACTGAATGATCTAGAGAATACACAATGTAGAGAAGCGTGCCGGCTCGTCACCGTGCTCGCATTTTCTTTTGGCATTTGCCCACTTGTTTGGCATCCTGTTCAGAGCACATGACTACAGTGAGAACTACCCCTGGAAGAGAGATTCACCTCACAACACAGCACAGCACAGCCCGGGTCCCATTCCGGATTCGATTCGAGAGTGCGAGAATTTCGCATTCCTGCTGCCATTCCCATTGTTCAGGCGAAGAAATCATATCACGCCCTAAGCTACAAATACGGGGCAAACAAAAGGCAAGGGACAAGCAAACCAATGCCTACCATTATTTATTTCTGGTTCTCCTAACTCCCGAAGAGAGAAGAAGTCTTACAATCAAACCTCCGTTCCCTGTCCCAAGGCCAGCTGGGTATCCGGGGCGGCTCACGACCGCTCCTCACCATGACCAGCCAGCGATCATCACCATCACCCAAGAATTTACTATATTCCCATTACCACTACCGACGATAAAGAAACATCACTGCGTCCCAACGCGGAAGGGGAGAATAGTCCGTCAAACAACGATTCAATGCACGGGACTGAACAAAGGCCACTGAAGGTTAGGATAAACTTGGAACTACCGAGCAGAATTCGCGTTGATTGATTGAGGGATTACCTATGCCGGAAGGCTGAAGTAGCGAATTACTTGCTGCACAATGCACAATGCCGGATTCATGGTGGAGGAGGATGAGGAGCATATATTGACAGGACGAAATTAATATGCGACGAGGCCTTCTTCTTCGTTTTCTTCTTCTTCTTCTTTTTCTTCTTCTTCTTCTTTTTCTTCTTCTTCTTCTTTTTCTTCTTCTTTTTCTTCTTCTTCTTCTTCGTCGTCGTCGTCGTCGTCGTATTCCTTCGCATATCTATGTCCCTCTCACCTCATCCGGCTCCTGCTGAATGCGTTAGTCTCCGTAGTATTAGCCAAATATATAAGTCGAGGTCGAGGTACAGCTGGGAAAGGGCGTTTTGTATGCCATTATACAGGGCTATCGTCACCTAGGCGGTTTACAGTACGCCTAGGCTCTCCACTACGCTGTTGACGGCGATCGTCACCGACTACAACCATCACGAAGGAAGGAACAGAAAGGATGTAACCATGCAACATTATTTGGCTCTCATAGCCAGGGCGGCCCCTAGACCCTCGTCTCATAGAGACTTTCTGCCTCGTCGTTCAGCCCGGAGGCCTCTCTCATATGCTGCCAAACAAGGGCAGCCTCGTCCATACCTTGGACACTCTCTGTGTCCTCACCGCCGCCGCCGTTCCCACCAGCAGCACCAGCACCAGCATCGCCGCCACCACCCGTGGCATTCTATCCCACGCGCCCCTCGCCCGCAGCGCCAGCAACACCCGACTTCTTTGGCGAGAACCGATTCGCTACCGTTGCCACATGGCGGCGAATGGTGTCTCGAAGCGTTGGAGTCTGCGTCTCCGCAGACTCCGCCGCAAGGACATGTCGGTAGTAGGTCTCCAGGACCGCGAGGTCCCAGGTGACTGACTCCGAAACGACATGGCCCAACGCATGTCGGAAGTCGTAGATGAGGGCCAACCCCTCGCGGCCACCTAAGCCCAGGCGGTGCTGTTGCTCTGGTCGTTCGACCGAGAGGAGCTTGACGGTGTTGACCCCTGGGTCAAGGGCACGGACGATGGAGCCTGCGAGCTTCCCAGTTTCAACAGTGTCCATGGACGCGGCGGAAGCGAGCGGCGCAAGGCGGCAGACGGCCCGTGTCTCCAGAGTGGTGTCCTCCGGCAAAAAGGCGTGGCGGTACTTGACCACTGCCTCGACGGAGACTGGTTCACTCCTCTTGCTGTCCATCTTAAGGCTTGCCAAGAACTGGTCGATCAATGAAAGGGATGAGGACTTTCTGTTGGTGTCCGACTTCACGGAGGCAGAGAGTTTAGATTTCAATGGATTGTCTTTCGAATTAAGCTTGAGTAAAAGAGTCCAGCGGTCTTTGACACGCAGCTTCTGAATGCTTTGGACCCCGACCTCGAAGAGCTTGCTGGCAGGACCTTTGACGTAGGTTTGGATTTGAAGATCAATCAGAGAGCCTTCATCGTTTTCCATGAGGACGTAGGACTGATGTTGAGGCTGATCGGTGTGACCTTGTGTCTCGAGGTAGTTCTGTTTGATAGCGGTAATGTCGAACGTGACATATGTACTTATGGGGGATTTTGTACCTGCGTCCAAGACATTGAAAGCGAAGGTTTCCACTTTTAGCGCAGCGACGGCTGGCAATGGGACGACCGGCACGTTCGGAGAGTTCCGTGGAGGTGGAGGTGGCGGTTGCAGAGGATGGCGAAGGTGGCTTGGTGCAGGATTACGGAAGTTGTCGTGAAAATGATACGCGTCGAACTGAGGCTGGATGAAGTCCCTGTCGACGGGCAGAGCAACAGTGTCTTCGTGGTTCATTGTGCCTGCGACACTCGGGGGCGGACCCGAAGGAATTGTCTCTCCGTTAACGAGCGGCTCATTCTGATGGACGGGAGTTGGTATGGACGGCGCAGAAGCCTCGTTTACAAGAGAGCCTCGATAGTCTAAGATGTTTTGCAAGGTTGGCGCTTGAACAGCAGCAGGGGCCATGATGTGATTGTTGATAGGGCGAGTATTACGCAAATCTCGGTCAGTTGGGACGCCATTCGCGTAGATGCCGTTGGGAAGGATTAACGGCATGATTGTATGGCTCACTTGTCCAAAAATGTCACGTTTTGGAGGGTTTCCCGCTGGATTCTGATGAACCTTGTTTGAGTGTCTTGAGGAATGATCGGTCGAGAAAGAGCCAAAGCTGTACGTCGAAGACCGCTGAGACACGATCAGACAAAGCTTCCAGGGTAACGGGACTCTGATCCCTATCGAGTACTCACCTCGTCGTCCAGGTCTAACGGGAATCGCCCTTGTATTATTTGCGGATGAGTGAAATGATTTGAGGATGGTCCGGAGACGGGAGGGCGGCTCTGTGAACAAGACTGCGACAACGTTAGCCAAAAAGCTTTGTGGAAGACGCGACAAGAAGTTGAGGCAAGATGCTCACCTTGTTGTCCCTGTCGCCATTCAACCTCTTCTTGCTGCCTGCAGGAGCTGATGATTTGCGAGCAGTGAGGAGGATTGAGAACGAGACACAGCCGCGTGAAGGTGGACTGTAATCCAGATCCAGGTCGGGTGCGACAGTGAAACTTTCGTCTTGGAAATCGCGTTGAGAGGACGTGGCATGCCTTCTTCCCCAAATTGAAGATAAGGATCCCGAAATCGATCTAGGTGAGAAGGTGGTCTTTCTGGTACCAAGCTGCGGTAAATCATCTGCATCCTCCTTCAAATCCGGATTTACCACTCTCAGAGCTCTCGGGGTCACATCCACGTCTTCTCTGTCCATGATGTTGACAGCATTCAAAGATTTCGAAACCGGCAACAAGCCAAAGAAGCTGGTTTCTTCTCGTTCCTCCTCTCTCCGGTGCTGATGCTGACCAAAAAAGTGGTGTCCTCAAGGCTGTCCCTAGGACATCCGAACATGCTCTGTAATGCAGCGACGAATATCCTTGCAATAAACAACTGCTAATTTTAGATACCTAAGGCCTTCTTCGGCAGCAGGAAGTTATATTCTCACAGGTTCTTGTCTTCTCGTCTTTGTGAATTCAAAGACAGCAAATGATGCAGCCTGGAGAGTGATCTGGAGGGAGTGCAAAGGCATTCAATAGCTGCCTTGGCCCGGGTTCAAGGAGTTGGAGCGTTTTGCCAAGCAGGTAAGTCCAAGAATCGGTACAATCGATGGCTGACTAGATCTGGATGTGTAAAGCTCCCTGAAACGGCGAAGTGATTCCACAGGAGGAGAAGAGCAATGAGACGATCCCGAGAAAGAGTATGGCGAATACGGCGGCGTCCCATAAGACCAGTTTGTTCCTTGATATTGGGAATCAGTCATATGAAGAAGCCATAGGTGCTGTACATGATATGGCCAGTATTCAAAACCAAAGGCAACAACCATAACGGAGTATTCTGTGTAGCTTGAACTGTTGAGGAGAGAAGCAAACACGTCAAGCTGCGGACGAGAGACAAGGTTGAGTGCTTGCTTGAGTCCGTACAGCAAGAGCGTCCACAGCTTCTTCCAGCTTCAAGTTGAGGAAGAAGCAGGCGTTATCCATTATGGGTCATGCAGGAGCATACCTAGAGAGCCAAGCGAGGCTCGATTGGCGAGGGGCCCCGAGACATGGCCACACTCGCTTCCTCTTTCGCTTATTCGGAATCTTTGCAGAGCCCCGCCATCAGACAGGCAGGGTAGGGCCAGAGACTGATATTTCGTCCTTCAACTTATCGAATTGCTCATCGCTCAACTTCGTAAAGCGGATTTGTCGATCAGCCGCAGCCAGCAATCGTTGGTGCGGGTCCATGCTTGCGGTGTCCATCACGACAGACCCGGCTCGGCCACCAGCACTACTGCCGAAAAGAGTGGCTTCACTTATACTAGCTTCGATACCGTTCCTCACCCGTGACTCCCAGACACCATCCCATTTCCACTCTCCGGGATTTTTTGGCGATGAAGGAGCTGCATCTTTGACTTCGGACACCGGCGTTTGAGGCTCATTCTGCCGCCTCGCGAGCCCACGATGGGCACGCCACGCGTGCCACGCGCTGGGATCTCCAACTGTTTCGAGAGGGAGTTTATCCAGCAAACCTTCATCTTCGAATGCATCTTGAATATGCTGCAATACTTTCAAAATGGTGACTCTGCGATCTCGCGGTGGTTCTCGATCAACTTGAGGATCCTCATTTGCGTCTACGATGTCAGAGTCCAAGTCGCCAGGAGTCAAATGACGCGCACCTCCTTGCTTGTTTGCACCAAAAGTGTCATCCTTGCTGCATGGCAGAGGGGTAGCTGTGAACCAGTGGGGAAATCCATAGCGCAGACTGAACGTTCCTGGGGGAAGACGATCCTCATCTGAAGCACTGACAGTGCCTGATGCATCAACACTATTGGCACTAAAGGTGTAGGTGGTCAAAGGCACGATCAGAGGATGGAAGACATCGGTCGAAAAGGTAACGAGAGGAGGCAGGTCAGGATACGTGTCGGAAAAAGAGATTTGGAAGCGAAGAACCGCTCCTGCGTAGGGTCCTGTGCTCTTCAAGTCAGAGCCAAGCCAAACTTCTGATGATGCCATGGGAAATGCGCGGAGGACTGCTACCTTTGCGCACAAAAATGACCGCGGCCCAGAGAGAAGGGTCACCAGGAGTCAGAGAAACATAAAGCCCCTCCGGACAGTGTCCTCTCAGGGCAGAGCTTGAAACAATGTCAGTCCATACAGTCAGCGTCTCGGCGACTCACTCACAAGTCCAACACAAGTTGTTGTCTTCGAAAAGAAGGAAGCAAGCGAAGGGACATGGTTGTGGAAGAGGAAATGGGAGTTTGAGTTCCAAAGGGCGGAGACAAGCTCCTCCAAGCTGCCCCACGCCGAGACTCAGACGCCTTTCTTGTCTTCAAGCCTCGCCAACCGCGCAGGACCTCGTCAGCTGCGGGGCGCGGCTGGTGAGGCTGAGCATGCGCAACGGCTACGCCAATTGCTGTGGTCAAAGCCTGCGGGACAGCAAAGACCCCAAGAGGGAATGAGCACACGCACGAGATAATCACCACATCGATGCTGTTAGAAGATGAACCAGGTGGTCTCGGTGGCTCGCTTGCAGTTCTATAATGGTTCAATTCTATGTGGAACAGGAGAGGACATCATCAGCTAGGACATTTGGGGGGTTGCTTTCCGTCGATTCTGAGCGACAGCGTCGAGGCCGTCGTTGACACCACCAACAATCCCCTCTACAAACCACGAACCAAGATCCACACAGGCGCCTCCCACGCGTCCATCCTTGAAGCGGACTATCGCTTGGTGTAGCTCTACACCACGTTCACCAAGAGCGGAAGTCAGATCAATGCCGTTGGCGAGCACTCGCTCGGTGACTTGATGATCTCGCTCAAATTGGAGAAGTCGGTTGAGGAGCGTCATGACAATGGGCAAGATAAGCAGCAATCCAGCAACAAGCCAGCACACAGCATGGGCAACACCCTGGCGGAGAATGTTGGGCTGTCGTTCCGCACGATACTCTGGGAGGTTTTCTGCTTGGGAAATGAGTTGAGGTGACATGCTAGCTCGCAAAGTCTGGATCTCGAGCGTCGTCAGATCTGACGGAAGAGCCATGTGCATATACCGCAACGCGTCAATGTGCATACTCCGCAGGGCGACCGGATCCCCTCCTTGCTCTGCCTGGGTTTTGGCGTTGACCCATAACCTGACCCCGGTGAGAGCAACATCCCAGTCTACACCTGATCTCGCCTCCAGAGATGGGAGAATTCTCAGGGTCAGGTCTTGTGAAGGTACGCTTCCTTCCGGAGTGTCTGGTCTGACTGTGGGAGTCGTAGATCCACTTGAGTTGGCGGTCGATGCAAATCCATAACTTTCCTTCTCTTTGGTGGACTCGACGCAGGTCAAGTTATATGCTCTCCTGCGAGCGCTCCTGCCATGAAGCACAACCGTTCTTGCGGTATGTCGGAGGGACGTCAAGACCGGTATCTTCGACCGGACTACGGAGGGGATCATAGTGTAGATGCTCGATCTAGAGAGGTCTCCACATGGTATCGGGTCCGGTCGTGTCACTTTCGCATCAGGTCGAGAGACGGCTGACGCCATTCTCAGCGTCAATGTCGAGGAGGACGGGAACTATTTCTCAGGTGTCTGCTTCGTGCAAGGCGCTCAAGAATTATTGTGCTAGGTAAGTAGACTTTCGTTCTGCACACAGGTTCCGGCGCCGCGGTAGAAGTTCCAACGATGGAGGACGGAGCACTTGTGTGGGAAGTCGCAACAAACAAAGTGAGGGTGGGATGGAGATGATATCAGCGAATGTTGTGAGGTCCTCCACAATGGCATGTGGCCATTTCACATGCACATAATCTGCTGCACGACATTGTCACGCATACTCAGGCAAAAGCCAAGGACGAAGGCGGAAAGGACAAGATAGGAGGCAGGTGGGTTGTATGCGAGGATAAGATTTGTTCTCCTGGTGGTTCAGCAGGCGCTTTTGTCGATTTGTTGAGACGGAACCAGCAGGGGCCTGCTGGGCGATGCTGGGCGATGCTGGGGCGGGATGGATCCTAGATACGCGGGACAAGCCCAAGAAGAAAAAAACCTTCCCTTTCTGACATGTGAGACTGGCAGTGGTGGCGGTTGAGAGCAGTCCTGTATTGGAATGGTCTGGTCAATGCTGCCAGCCGTCTTGATCTGGTTGATTTTCTTCTAATGCCTGAGAGACCTCTGATCATACAGAAATGGGGGACACGTGCAAGAGACGAACTGAGACTCACATGCTTGCTCTCCAGGTTGAAGTCGAACTGATAGAGGAACAATGGAGCAAAGAATTGTCTTTCCCCCCTTCCGAGGGACGGAGAAATTTGGTGGGAGCGTCGGAACCGGATCTTCTTTCTGCCGATGCGGATCACTGCAGCCTTGACAGACGCAAGGCGCGAGACAAACATCACCAGCTTCATCAGCAGGGCGTGACCACATTTATTCATTAAGATGGTTGAATTACTTTTCTACTGCTCTGCTCATCAGAGACACTGATGATGGGACTGTGAACCAATGGCGCCATGTCCTCCTTTCCTTAAAAGAGCCCTCCGCCCTCTGCCTGACCAGTGCAGATCCACACATGGCAAATGTGCTTGTCTGTTACATTGTTGAAATACTCTCCGACTCTCACCCAATCTCTTGTTTTCTCCCCCTGCCCTCCCAGCTTGGTTGCGAAGTCAGTTGAATCCTGCGACGTACCCAGATAACTGGCTCAGATCACCGTCACCCATAAACTGACCGTTGCTGCCAGGTTGTGTCTGTTGCTGCTGCAACGGCATTCCTGTGTTCATGTCCATTCCTATGCCTATGGAGTGATTTACCCCGTACGAGCCGAACAATGTATCACCCTGGATGCTTGATGAGAATGGCGTTGCAGGCGCCATGGAGACGCCAATTCCACCGCCACATGCCATCCCTTCTCCTTGACTGTTGTCGAGCCCGAGGTCGAAGTTCATATCGTCGACCATTCCAAGGTCGAGGTTGCTGAAGTCAATGCTGTCAAAGTCAAGCTCCATACCATTATCAAATGTCGCTGCCGTGGCAGAGTTAGGTATACTACCGCAGTCAGGGGTCATGCCTGGGAAAGAGTTGGTATCAGTGGACAAACTCCTGCGTTGGCTTTGGGCAGTCGTAGGCTTCGACTTCAGCCCGCCCTTAATCACATACGGGGCTAAGATGGGCACTTCAGCCAAGGTTTTGGTCGGCACCATTGCGTCTGTGACACTTCCGATCCCCTGTTGATACTTGAAAGTGTCAAGCCACTGCTGATTGTCTGCACAGGTCCAGTTCCAGGGATCGCTGTCTTCGTAAATGATCATGCGAGCTTGATCCTGCAACTCCTTGTCTGACGGAACGCGACCAGCAACTCTCTGTTGTGACACAAACTTGCTCAATTCTTGTTCCAGTCTACCCCAGCAGTTAGAGTCCCGGGTTATTTGATCAGGCTCTGTGCTTTCTGCAGAGGTACCGTTGGTCAATCCTGCATCGGTGTTGGCGGACGGTGTTGCTGCCACTCTCGCAACATACGGGTCCATCGTGTTCCTCTCGTGACCGATGAGGTAGGGCGGTATGGCGTTCTCGACCAGTCTTTCGACGTATGGCTCAAATCCCCAACCGCCACCCCAGTTGGCCATGTCTGCACCATTACGGAAGTGAGCAGCAAGATGATCAGCTCGCTGTTGCCAAGTTGTGAACTTGGACGGGCAGAAGCCGCAAGCGGACTTGATCTCGTTCGTGGTGCTTTTCCAGTTATCCATGTGAGATTGCACTTTGGTATTGTGCATAAGTTTCAGATGCTGACTGAGGTGGTCCTTCCGATAAAAGGTACGTTCTTGCAATGTCTTCTCTTGGCATGCAGTGAAGTTGTGCGATTCCAAATGATCGGCGGAAGGGTTTGGCTCACGGCAGAAGATGCACAGGCCCATGCCCGTCAGTGCGTCAGTCATTGTGCCACCATTGGGACAACAAGTCCATCGCTCTAAAGCGAGATGAAGAGACTTCTCATGCCTCTGCCAGTCATATTTCGCAGGGAAAGAGTCTGTGCAAAATGTACACTGGAAGATCCTTGCTGCTCGCGACTTGGCCTGTTGCGCAGCAGTACGTTGCGCCACGGGAGCTCGTCTACGCCTGCGTCGGTCTTGGGAGGACGCAAAAGATCCTTTGGATCGATTCGACCGAGATGAGGCAAAGGTAAGATCTGAATTGCTGGATTCTCTTGTTCCAAAACTGCTCACCGATGGAGCACGGAACATGGAAAAGGATGAATCGTCCTCGCTAGAAGCCTTCCTCGAGCTCGGCCTAGAGCCATGAATACTTGGCAGAGAAGGATTGCGAACAGGTAGAGGCGTGGAGGTGACGGCACGAGCAATAGCAGTCATGGATGCGGGTTCGTGTTCTGGCGGTGAAGCTTTCCATCTGTCCAGGGGATTGAGATCTGCAATGTCTGGATTGTCGACTCTATGGGGAATGTCAATTGCCCCAAGCATGGGTGAGGATGGACCCGATTCGGCAGGCCTGACCTTGCCTCGTCTGCGTGCATTAGCCAGCCAATTGGAGATCTGGCTCCTCTTCAGGCCGGTAACTTGCTTGAGCTCGTCTTTTTCTCGTTCGTTGGGATACGGATGTTCGGCATGTTCAGCAAGCCACTGCTTCAATATCTTGACAGCATCGCGCGGAAATCGAGCACCAGTCTTCCGGCCTCGTCCCTCTTCCATTGACTTCATGGCTTTCCTGCGTTCAGTCAATGAACCTTCAGTAATCTGCTGGTCTTCAGCGATGCCCGGGAAGGTGTTGACAAAGCCCTTGGGGATTTTTGGGTGGACGAAGCTGCACTCTCGATACAGAGAGATACAGCAAGTGCAGCCCGTGACCAGAGCGCCTCTTGTAGCCAAGAAGCAATCGAGACCCATTCGCGCGCAAAGATCACAAGGCTCTTTGGCACGAAACATGGGGTATTCCGCGGTGATGTCGGAAGGATGTGGGATGGCCTCGATTTCAACGTTGTTGATTAGCTTGAGTTTGCAGACTTTGATGGCTGGTGCTCGACTTGTTGGAAGAGCGGCAGATTTGTCGAAAAAGAGCGATTCATAACAGTCTGTGGCATCAGTCTCACAGGCCTCGCCTGCGACCGACGAACAATCATCGAGGTCCAATGCCGGAATGGCGTGGGAGGCATCATCGAAATCGAAGTACTCCATTTTTTCTTTTCGACTGTGGTCCTCAAGGCCGGACCATACAGTAAGTCCTTGCGGAGAAATGGCAACGAAAGAGAAGGAGGAGGGCGAGAAGATGACCAGGCCGTACCTTTTGAGCGACGCTCAGCCTTCTCCTCGGACCAGAATATGAATCTCCGAAGATCGGTGGATAGGGTCTATGACTCCTCAGGCAGGTCTGGGATGAATGTCAATGGGTGTGTAAGAGCCTTGGCTTCTGCACACTCTGCACGCCCTTCCTACGACATTCAGACATGGGGTCTTCTCAGTCCTTGCGCCGTTTTGGGGAAGTCAGTGCCCACCAGCCTCGAGAACATTGGTTCTGGTGGACATGTCCGAGTGAGCTAAGCGCGGCGGCATCGTCGTAGGTGGCTGCTTATGCCACCAAAAGGTACCTTCTGGAAGCACTCGAACTCTGTCCCGCAGCCAATTGCTGACTCTCCGACCCGCCATCCTCAGTTGATAGCGGAGTATTTTTCGCGCAATGTTTGGATCTGCAATAGGCCGTCACACGAGCTTTGCCAGGGGTGCATTTGGGACGTCGCATTGGCCCTGGCGTACTTGAAAATAAGGCTCAGCCGCGTGTCCATTCCACTCTCGAACCCGGTCTCCTCGTGGGACGCTGACAAACCGAGCTCAATGCGATTCTGCCTTCCGCACTTCGTATTCTGCTCAGGTCGTAGTAAAGCATTGTTCAGAACCACCCTTATACGGCAAGGTATACAGATTGGGGAAAGTATCTGGGGGAGAAAAACCTGGAGCACTTACCTGTATTCGGTACTCATTTATTATACCCTTCCGACATTCGGATCCTGAGGGCTGAAGGCTTGGTCACATGGGCGGCCTTTCCGATGCGGCGCCAGGCGAGATATCTAAGATTTATACCACTTGTACAGGGTGACGGGTCGCACACTCCATACCTTCAACTACAATAGCATCCGATTCGTCTATCTCATCTACAAGGCTGATCTCTCCCTTCGAAACCTATTGCCTAATGTTGCGCTTCGTACCAACACGCAGTTTTTATACCTTGGCCTGCTTTCTGGCCAGAGCAGTGTCCGTAGTCCATAATGCCCCTGGAAAGGCGTGTGGGCCCCTTGAGGCCAATGTCACATACATCGGAATGCCCCCAACCTGAGACCGGCTGGTGCGCCAAATTATGTCTCCCTGGGGCTGTCAATACTTGATAATTAAAACCTCGGCTGGGAGCCAAAGAAGGTCGTTGATGCTCGACCCGCGCTCGACGTGCACTACCCCCCTTTTTCGTCCTACGTGTACCTGCATGATTGACTACTCCCCTGGCTTAGCATTATTGAGGCATTCTCAATAGCCAGGAGCATATTGGGACAATGGTGTTTACTTTTGCCCTTTAACATAGCCACGTTCGAAAATTCCACCCAATGCAACGGGGTAGGTAAGTCGCTAATTGAGGTTTAGTCCTTATTTGCACTTCCCCAGCCTCGCAGCGATATCTCTGCATTGTTGAAGCCTTCGCACTTGACACCTTGTAATGCCCCTTCTTACAGCCAGATGGTTTCCGGAGGCCACTGCACGCCAGTGATAGATGACACAACTCCCTTGAAGGCATAGACGGACGCCGGAAAGATCACCTTTGTCCAAGACTTCCAAATCAATCGAAGAAGATGGCATCCACCATCCCGAAAGACTATCAACCCGTCTCGAGATGGCCCGACTCACCCAAGCTTAGCATTGACCTCGATCCACCACTGGATGCCGGAGTCCTTTGGTCAAGCCTGACTTGCGCTCTAACTGACCCAGCTACAATCCCCGCGACCACGACAACCACGAGACCAAGGAAATACATCGCGTCCATAAGACGAGGCAGTCTCCTGAAGGAGCGGACCAAGCTTAGTCGCCCGGTCATACTGCCATCGGAGCTACTCTGGCGCATCCGAGCTTATGAGCGAGCCGTATTCCACTGAAACTGTAGTGCCACTGAGAGGCTTGTATCTCGGCTTTGTGGTTACACTGTCATCGGGTCTTGCTGCGGCCATGGAATACCTCTATCAGCGTGCTAACGAGTTGCAAGGAGAGGGCAAGGCCCTCATACGCAATTTCGTTGCGTCCGACCTTGGCAATACCAAATACCTTTTATGGCGCTACATGCGGTTGGCACCTTTCTACAATCCCAGGAGACCGAATGGTCTTTCCGGGACCGACTCCTTCCTTCAGGATCCCGACAACTATCTCACGTACCCTTGAAGGCTGATCAAGGCCGGAGCCCTGATATGGCTATCAGCACTCACAAATGTGCTGGCCACGGTAGCTACACCCGTCATACACGGTTTGGGTTTTCAGACAAGGTTTTCGGGAAATCCATCCGATCCTGCTGACGGGGTGTTTGTACACTCGTTATCGTTTCTGCAATTTGGTCTGGGCTTCTAGCAGCGACACTGTTTCCGGTAGCTTGCTGCCCTGTCGGGCTTCACCTCTTGCTTAGCCGGCAACAATCCCGACTGTCCTGTGACCCCAGCGGAATATACGGAGTCGTTGCAGCGATCTGTGAAGGAGTGTGGAGCGACCTCAAAGAGCTCGGCGAAGGAGAGAGTGGCGCCAAACCCCTTGACCCAAGGCTGACAGCTAGCCGCTTTGTCCTCCAAAACGGACGCATTCGTCCTCCGTGAATTGACAGAACCGGCGCACCTTTCCGCAGCGAGAACACCACGCCGAACCCACAGCGCTTAGCTCTGTCGATGTGGTATACTCGACGTATGGTCTCGCTTGGAGGGATTCTCATCATCTTCTGCGGTCTCAGCTCTGCAGGGATCGTGCCGGTGAAGTTTCTCTGGTTCTCCACCGCTATGGTAGTCATCTACAAGATGTGCTAGTCCCAGCTCGATGTACTTGCTAGGACAATAGAACCGTCCTAGCAATTAACGTCAGGCCGCGCACCACCTGCAATTCTCTTCGTCGAGTATGCGGGTCTGCCGACTATCGCCCTACCATTCGCCGCACTGTTCAATCGCTACTGGCGGCTCGCAATTCTAACAACATGTAGTGTGCTTGCAGAGTTCCTCGCGATGTGCATCTCATCAACAGGCGATATGGAGCAGTCTCCCAGAAATATAGTATTCGCGAACCTTTCGGGCTTCCTGGATGGACTTGTTGATCCCCCTCATCATGACAGGGACCTGGTATCATTCCAATCGCAGAGGCAGCGGTCGTGACTCCCACGCCGGCCAGGAACACTCGCGAATCTGCTTTGGTACATGCATTCCACGACGCTGGCTGAAAGCTTGGAAGCCACACCACGTGAGTCTTCGAGAGCCCATCAGCGGAAGTTCCTCGAGGCAAGCGGTAAGACGTATGATCAGGTTGGCTTGAGATGCGGGATGGAACAACACAACGGGTTGCAATTAACGAGGAGCCGAGAATCTCCAAATACGAGCCGAGTTAAGACCGAGAAGGTTTGATCGTCAAATAAATAGATGCACAGAACAACTTCTACGAATTCCAAAAGAGAAAAAATGGATGCAGTAATAAACCAAATGTATTCATTAGCCTAGATAGGTTGTCAGCCGATACGGAACGCCACTGTAATAATGGGGCTCACATTATTTAATAGGAATCAAACATGATGTTGTATCATTCGACTGGCGACCAGCCTTGAAAGCTACATTAGTTATCTCGCTGAGAAGTAAGCTCGCGGGCAGGTTAGATAGATGTGTATGTGGCTCTACCCAGGCGACACTATGTATAGTGACAAAGGAGGTGTGTCACGAGCATGTGCTTTGCTTTCTGGTAGACTGTCACACAAAATATTCCTACCTGCTGCAGGTCTAGCCAAAAAGAAAAGTCTTTTAATCAAAGAAAAAAGGCGTGAATATTGCGCAAAAAAGAGATGATAAGGTATTCCGAACCGGGCTTTGTAAGAGTTAGATACACCACTCACACTCCCAACTAGCAGTAGGATGACTTACGAATCGAACCCCGGGCATGTCGGGGGCTTTCATATCTGTATGAAATGAGAGCGACAGATGTTACCTCTACACCCTATTAAGGTGTATTAGCTTTCTGAATTTCAGATGGATGAAGACTCTGAGATACTCACAGTTCGGACTGTTGATTGTTGAAGTAAATTGTGGTTTTACTTAATATAAAGTAATGCTTCGGGGATAAGTAGGAATAACGATGTGGTCTGCTCTGGGCCGAGTTTTCTGAGGCAAGTTAGCCGACAAGAGATATTTCTAAACGGCGAGCTGGGCAAGGCCGGGGCAGTTACAGCGGTGGAGCAACGATCCTCTGCCCTACTGAAACCCTTCATTTAGGTGCGGCACTAACAAGTAGAAGATTCACTTCGGCATCTCAATCAGGAAACGTGTTCCCTTTCTATATTCTATCTGTATCCTTGATGCCTTTGACCACTTTTTATCCGTTCATTGAATCAACTTATGGCTCGCTCATGAAGCCGTCCAGGAGCCCTTCTGGGCAGTCCAAGCCACGGGCAACCGTCACACCCAGTATGCTCCTTGGATGGAAGCTCCCCCGTCACTACTATCCTGGATATCCTACGACCTAGTCCGGATTGGAGCCCTTGATCACAGCCATGGCCTAACCCTACCCATGGTATGGGCACGACAGAAAAGACTTGAAGACTAACCTATGCCTTCGTTGAGCACGCCGCTAAATCGACAACAAATGGAAAATTGCATTAAAAGCAGCATGTGAAGACTTTGTGCCGTACATTTCTAGGGCCCTGGTGGACCATGGAACTCCTGGACAAATCCTGAAGTAGGTCCCGAAGAAAGAAGCTGTGAACCTTTTTGCAAGGTGGTGCCACGCGTCGACCCTGTCCTGTCATTCTCATATCCTTCCGTGTTCTTTGTTGAACTTATCAATCACTTCCTTTGTGGTCTTGATTATTCCAAGACAACCAGGAGAGTCTGAATGGCAGCATATGGATATTGGATAATCCTTCACTGGCAGCTGCACGACACTGCCATCCGTCGCGGTAACGGATTGTGAATTGAGCTGTTGACTGACATGCTTTCTGACATCTTCCAGATCCCAAGCTTTCTTCTTCCTGTCAATCACAAGCATGCCATCGTTGCTGTATTTCACGTCTCCGTACATCTCCGCCCAGAAGGGGATACCAAGATCATTGGCGGCCTTTTCCATGTTCGTGCCTGCAAGGCCGAAGACAGGAACGCCTTTGGGGATTCCTTCCATAACTGCTTTGGCAATATCATAGTCACGGCACATCATTCCGTACAAAATACCGTGGGGCTTGACGTGATGCAAGGTGACACCTTCTAGATCAAGGAAACCCTTCAGTGCTCCAACTTGGTATACGGTGATGGCTGTCAGCTCCTCCTGGGACATTTTGATCTCACGTCTACCAAAACCTCCATGGCGTTAGGTCGAATTGACTTTGATCGGGCTCGGAAGCTTACCTTGTATATCAGGAAGTCCCGGGTGTGCCCCGACTTTGATATTATGTTTCTTACAATTCCTGACAGTTTCCAGCATTATCAAGGGATCGCCCGCGTGAAACCCACATGCCACATTGGCGTGGTCAATAAACGGCAGCAACTCCAAGTCTGGACCGCAGACATAATTGCCGTACTGCCTACTGATCAGATGATGTGGCCCACGGTCGGAACGGGTCGGCTTACCCCTTCCCCCATATCAACATTAAGCAAGGCTTTGTGTTTGATTGGTGGAGGCGCCATGTTGAATTTGGGCTTTAGTATATACGGCGAAATATTTGTTAGTGAGGATGAAATTAGCAACTTCAGAAACCACGCGACAGTCTCTCCATTATCTTCATTTTCCGGACATGAGGAACAGCACCCTGGTATATCACACTTGACCCCCTCCTTGGGCCAATCCCAATCATACGTCACTATGATGGCGGAGAAGAACGACTTTGCGGAGGCACGACAGCTTCATGCCCCTCATGGACGTTTTTGAGGGGGAATCCTTGCACAAAAGGGCCAATGACGGCAGGTTGCTTTCACTGATATCAAGGTATTGCAACATGGTTTGATAATGCAAACGATCCCTCGCGTCGGCAGAGCTGGGTGTCAGTTGCCGCTCATCCTTCACCCTCTTTCCTCACCAGCCTTCAGAAGATGGAGAAATTGAAGACATTGCTGGTCGCGAATAGAGGAGAGATCGCAGTACGGATATGCAAGACAGCCTCCAAACTCGGTATTAAGACGATTTCGATCTACACTGGAGCTGATGCCGCCTCGGCTCATGTTGGGGCAGCAGATGAAGCTGTTCTGCTCTCTGGACCGGATGCTAAGGGCTACATCGATACGCAACAGATCATTGAACTCGCCAAATCCAAAGGAGCAGAAGCTGTTATCCCAGGCTATGGATTTCTATCTGAGAACCCCGATTTCGCCAGGCATGTCACTGAAGCAGGAATGGTCTTCGTTGGACCCAATCCCAAATGTATCGACGATTTCGGCATTAAGCATACAGCTCGTGAACTTGCTGCAAAGGCGAATGTTCCCATCGTGCCAGGAACTAAGGGCCTAGTCAGGTCAGAGGATGAAGCGGTTGAGGAAGCGAAGAAACTAGGCTTCCCAGTAAGTGTGACCATTCGCGTTGTAAACTGTATTGACAGCTCCAGGTAATGCTCAAAGCTACCGCAGGCGGAGGCGGCATGGGGCTGTTAGCATGCAAGGATGAAGACGAAGTCCGACGGTCGTTCAAGACAGTTCAGTCCCGTGGCGAGACTCTGTTTAAAAACTCGGGTGTCTTCATGGAAAGGTTCTACCCTTCTTCACATCATATTGAAGTCCAAGTCTTCGGTAATGGGCTTGGTGAAGCGATACATTTTGGGGAGCGCGAATGTTCAATTCAACGACGACACCAGAAGGTGATTGAAGAGTGTCCAAGTCCCTTCGTGGTGAAACATCCCGAACTCCGGGAAAAGCTAGGATCGGCTGCTGTTCGTCTGGCTGGCTCAATCAACTACGGCTCAGCTGGTACCATCGAGTTCCTTGTCGATGACGAGTCAGGGGACTTCTTCTTTCTGGAGATGAACACAAGATTGCAGGTGGAGCATGGCATCACTGAGATGTGCTATGGGATTGACCTCGTTGAGCTGATGCTGAAGCAAGCCGACGCGGAGCTTTCTGGGAAGGGCGGACTCGATGGTGAATATCTCCGCAGTCTTCAACCCAAAAGTCCTCCTTCAGGAGCAGCGGTTGAGGTACGGGTTTACGCCGAGAATCCTGCAAAGGACT